ATCTGCAGGCATTGAAATTGTTGGTAACAGATAGTTTGATAGCAAGGTAATTTGTAACGAGCAACAAGTAGTAATGGTAAAAAAGGTACAACAAGGTAGCCCAATCCTTTTTGTAGCAAAGGACAGGCATGAATGGTCTCTTATAATAAGCAAAGCATTCTTGAGGACGCACGGGAATTTCATCTAGTCACTTTCATTATGTTTATTTGATTCACGTTCGTTACTCTGATAGTTTGATATGTGGGTGGACCGGTGCTTGGGTGTTGTTCTTACTTAAACAAGCATCCCACTTATGATTACCCCCTCTCGTAAGCATCCGCAATTACGAAAGAAGAATTAAGATAAATCTAACCATAGCATGAAACATATGGATCCAAATCAGCCCCTTACAAAATAGTGCATAAACTAGGGTTTAAGCATCTGTGACTCTAGCAAACCATCATCTAATAACTACTCCACAATGCCTTCCCTTAGGCCGAAAGCTGGTGAAGTGTCATGTAGTCGATGTTCACATGACACCACTAAAGGAAGCAACAACATACATATCATCAAAATATCGAACGAATACCAAATTCACATAATTACTTATGACAAGACTTCTCCCATGTCCTCAAGAACAAACGTAACTACTCACAAATCATACTAATGCTCAAGATTAGAGGGGTTTTGAATAGCATCAAGGATTTGAACATATGATCTTTCACCAAATAAACCAACAAGCATCAACTATGAGATGTAATCAACACTACCAGCAACCCACACGTACGAATCTGAGGTTTTGAGACAAAGATTGAATACACGAAATGAAATAGGATTCAAATGAGATGGTGCTGGTGAAGATGTTGATGAAGATTGGTCCTCCCATGATGAGAGGATCGTTGATGATGACGATGGCTTCGATTTCCCCCTCCCGGAGGGAAGTTTCCCCGGCGGAATCTCTCTGCTGGAGAGCAAAATTGCTCTTGCCCAGGTTCCGCCTCGAGATGGCGGCGCTTCGTCCCAAAACCTTCCTTCAGATTTGTCTAGGTCAAATATCATCATATATGAGAAGATGGGCCCCGAAGGCCTGCCAGGGGCACCACAAGCTGGGGGGGCTAGGGGGTAGGGCATGCCCCCAGGCTTGTGGCTGCCTGGTGGGTCCCCCTCTAGTATTTCTTTCGCCAATAATTTTGATATATTCCAAAATAATTCTCTGTCAATTTTCAGCTCATTTGGAGTTGCTCCGAAAAAGTGACTCCGATATAGCCCTTTCCGGTCCAGAATTCCAGCTGTCGGCAATCTCCCTCTTCATGTGAAACTTGCAAAAAAAGAGAAAATGCATAAAATTTATATTATAAAATGAAATAACAGTCCGTAACGTAATAAATATCAACATAAAAACATGATGCATAATGGACGTATGACTCCTCCTCTGACCTTGGGGTTCGCGACCGCTTGCAATCCGAGGAGATATGACCCTCAAGACCACATCGAATGCACATCGGCTTGAACGTGCAGTCGTCCTTGTGATGCCCTTCCCGGAAGCACCTGAAGCAGAGGCCGAACAGGTCCAACGGAATCTCTCCCCTTTCCTGAGACGACAGTGAGCACGGCCGCGATCTGCCCACTTCCGCCTATTTCTGAAGCGCCTTCCTCTTGCGACATAGCACCTTGCGCGAGGGACCTGGCTTCCTCCATGGCGCTGTTGGGCCAGCAGCCGGACCGGGGACGCCTCGCGCCCACCCGCGGAGGAGCTAGCAGATCCAGGCAACTCCGACAGCCCCAGCCCCGAAACCACTGGCTGCGGCCTCGTGAACACCAACGCCGGGCTAGTAGAGCCAAACGCCATGACCGCAGGGACCATAGAGGTCAGCTGCGGTGAGTGGGTAGGCGCTGGCGACCGGAGTGATCATCGTCAAGGGGGAGTGGACGCCGGTGCTGGAGTGGTTGCCGGCGGGGGAGAAAGGAGGTGGTTGGTGGGAGGGGAGGTAATCTAAAGTACTAGTCGTAGCGAAAGAACCAAAAATCTCCTCCTCGCGATCGACCGCCGCAACGGCAGACATAAGGGAGGCGAATCCACTGGCTCATTAATGAAGCATGAAGGGGGGAGTTTGCCCTAATCGTCAATGAAAAATGGGAGGACACGCTTCGCGTCCGTCCGATCAAAGCCGGGGTACTCTACATGCAATGATTACACAAATTTTGTATAAAAATGTTTTAACACGAGTGAAGTCCACACAAACTAATGCAGCGCTTCACACAAGCTCTTATCATCTACCAAAATATTAAAAATCTAAAAGTTAATGATTTCATCATTTTTAGGGCTAATGATTATTTTGAGATTTTTAGGGTTAATGATTTGATTTTCTTAGAAGCATAGACTTGGTAAAACATCACAACTGCCCTGTGAACTGAAAGTGGCCTTTGCTTCTTTCTTTCCCACCAAGAAAGGAAGCGCACAAACTAGATAGATGAGAAGAAAAAGCGCGGCATCCCCGTGCACCGCGACGCGGACCCATCTGGCCATGTCACAACATAAGCCGGCCACCTCATCTCGTTACCATCTCAGAAAAATACATTTTGCTCGCTCTCCTTTCTTTTCCCCCCTTCACCTTTTTCCTCTTCCTCGCGGACCTCGCCTCTCCTCCCCTCCCCTCCCCTACCCAACCTCTGCGCCACCATGCTTGCTCCAGCCGTCTACTAGGTTCGCTGCGCGGGAGCCTGGGTCCCTCGCCTCTCCCCGCCCCGCCATGTTTGGAGTCTCCGTCGTCGCCGCCTCGAGCCTGCTCGCCGCGGCTTGATTGATTGGCTCCGCCATTTTTCCTCTGGGTTTTCTAGGTATTCCTTTCTTCCCTGCCGGTATGTTGCCGTAGTGCTATGCGAAGGCCGTCCCGCTTCGGGGATTATCCGAATGCACTGCATGTATGGATACGGTGGAGTACTGGGTTTTTTGGTTGGTATATATGCGTGGATATGGCGGTTGTCGGCTCGCATCTCCCAATTTTGGTGCGTCGAACCTGAATTAGGTGTTATGTCACTGGAATTCCTAATTTTTGTTTGTTTTTGCGAATGAATTCGTAATTGATACAGAATTGGTGTTTCTTGTTGTGAGCTGCCTCTTAGGTACCTGCAAGTGCCTCTTATATGCATAAAACTTGTCTCCAGAAGCATTCTTGATCGAATTCCCAGGTTGACTGTCGATTTGCTTGCTGCTTTGTATACTATAGAGGAGACGTGGAATCTTCTTAGATTTTGGGTGGATATGATGTGCTAAATAGTGCCAAGTTGCAGAAACCATTTATATTAGAATTGCCTACTTGGCTGCTAATGCTGATTGCTGAATTTTTCCTTGATTTTGGTAATAAAAGGATGTGATCAGACAACAATTAATATTGAAAACATACCAGGCCCAGCACATTATATTTTTCTTCCATTCCTCAAATGATGGAGTCTGTGGTATATCACACCACCCTTTGAGCTTTGAACTTCAAACCAAATTGTGTTATGTCAACGTAATCAAACTTGAAGGTTTGCACATAATTCTTGTAAAAAGTGCTTGTTTTGTTTTTGGTTTCTCAACTGGCTGGATTACACGGGTAATACTAAGGGTGTTTTGCATTGACGTGTTGCGCTTAAAGTCATCTGTTTTCACTCTGCAGTCTGCACCATTGGCTGCAATATTTGCTAAAGTTTTCTGATTTGCTCTGCAGTCATTTGCACGAAAAGCAATCTGCTGCTTGAAGCAAGATAACCCATGCTTGCTGTTAATTAGGGAAATGTAAGTGGTGATTAAATGGTTGATCAATATTCGGTGCTTCTTTGAGCATGGACGTTTTGACATGGATGCTAGAACCACTCTTTTTTGTTTCTGAAAAAAATGGTCTATGGTTAGTATATTGGCCCTGATTGTATCAGATTTGTTCCACTCAGAACCTATGCTTAAATTGTCATGCGGGCTGTAAGTGCTGTGAAGCTGTTATGCTGAAAGTTGCTGCTTTTCTAGGAATATCTGTCTCCAATTCTTTGCTATTGTTTCCTAAGATTAGCTTGCAAGTCGCGGAGTTGTGTGGTTGGCTCCGTGTGGAACTTATGCTTAAACTGTATTGTTGGTTTAGGTCTTTATTGGTGCTTTGATGCTAAAAGAGTAGCTTGTGCAAGAATCGATACTGCTTGTTGGTTTTGATTGCTTTATGTCTCTACCTCACAATTCAAGAACGTGGAGTATTTGCCATGTTACATGTGTTTGGGGGGTGGCATTAGGATTTATTTTGCTAACTAGCCTTATTGTTCTTGAATTTTACCTCAGATCAGTTGGCTAACCTGTCGAACTGACATAAAACACCTATGTCCTCTCTTACCATGAAACTTTTTTTTGCTGCAGCTTTACTTTCAGTTAGTTTTTCTTGTAGTTAATACTGAGACTGCTCTGTTATTTACCTTTTTTCAGAGTTGCCAGAGGCATTTATCATATTGTGAAATTAAACTTTGGTGATTCTGATCCGGAAAGGGAAAACGTGTGAATTACAAACATACATGGTAATCATATCCCTTGGCATAAATTTTCCAGCAAATTGATGTGTGATGTTGCACTTGATCATTTCGGCCATGAGTCATATCTTTACTTAAGGAGCAGGTAGCACCTGGGTGAATGCTAGGATTTGGATCTAGGTGTGAGGGGATGGTGCTACCTCTTTACTAACCAGTCATGGCCATGTGTAGCTGTCTTGTTCTCTTTGACAATTTAAAACAACTAACTGTATTAATTTTGAACGCGTTTTGGAGCACAGAAATGATTTTAGAGTATGGGCTGTCTCCAACTGCAGTAAGATTGCAAATGATGTGTTTCATCCAGTTTAAGTTAGATACATTTACAATATATTTGTGTTTTCTATCAATAAAGAAGGCATCATCTGTAAGTTGTTTGCATGGCAGAACTATCTTTTGGCTGAAATTCTCGTGCCTTGCGAGTATTTGGAAATATTGGTAGCCCCTATTTAGTGGCAGTGTTTCTGTGGTTTCAGATGTCTGGCTTTGGTACAAATTCAGCCATGGGTTCTTCGTCTCTCCCTTCTAGAGTTGTGTATAACACAGGTAACGATTTGCCGGTGGAATACATATATGACCAGGGTCTTTCTTATCCAGCTACCAACGGATATGCTTACTATGCAGGTATGTGTTCCTCTAGTTCCTGTTAAACTCCTTTTATGTTTATTTATTTTGGTGGTCATCATGCATAACTTTTCTGTTTTCTACTTTGGATAGGATTTGAGCCACCTGTTGGATGGAGTGAAAACACTAATTATTGGGGGGTAGATGGTCAATATCTCCAACTGACGGTAAGTGCATATGTAACACTTTGGTTGTTATTGTTATTAATACTGTATACTACAGTATTATTGTATATATTTCTTGACGACTATTTATTTCTGTTTATGTAGAACGACAATCTTCCTTATGTGTATTGCACACCTGGCTATGAATTTTCTTATTCTTCACAAGATCAGTACACTTCCTATATGCCTGGCATGTTCATGGGAGTTGATGGCTCAGTTGTAGGAAGTCAACAGTATTTCACTAATCCATATCAGCCTCCTGGCTCGCCATCTGGTTACTTCCCAGTATATCTCCAGCCCACCACAGATTTGAGCTCAGCAGTTTCTTTGGAGCCTCCTGTATTCAGTACTGGCACATCTGTTGCTAGTAGGCCTGTTAATACTAGCATAAAAGATACACATCAAATGTCTGGAAATACAATGGCTTCTCGGACTGTCTCTTCTGCAAGTCCAGCTATTGGTTCCTCCCATCATGCTTACCAGAATCAAAGCACGAATAAACCTTCTGATCTGCCAGGTGCTAATGTGGCGAGGCATGACAAGCCTTCAACCTCACATTTGACAGTTCTGGTTGATACTGACAAGGTATTGTGACCAAACTTGAATATTTACAGTTGAAGAGTTGCACCTTATGCCCCCAAAAGGAAAATATGCATTTTTTAATTCTGCATACTTCTGTTTTTCATCTTCTACAGTTTATACATGCTTCTTTGAGCGCGTTGGTGCTGAGAATAATTGCATTCCTATATGTTAATGTTCATATTGCCCTGTTTATGGGAATCCGTTCTCTTGGGATGTAATTTTAAGTACTGCAGCACTGACTACTGAAAGGAAAAAATATATATTCCCTATCATATTTTATTGCGTTTAGTTACTTTGTGAATAGAGTGCATTTCCGAGAACTGCATGAACCCTTGCTAGACTACAAAAGAACCACATTTTAAGAAACATTTTCGAAGGACCAGTCTTACTTTGCAAAATGGTGCAATAAACATGCCACGGAGCCAGAACCATGTTTATCTATTCCCATAGGCCTGTCATGTTGGGCCCACTATACAGACAGAACCATTGCTGTCCCTGCTTTTCTGGGTAGACTTATATGCCACGTAGCCAGCAGAGTGCCAAAGCAGTGCTGGCTGGTAACATGATATAAGATCCGCCACTTGGTCGCGTATTCGCGAGGCCAGGCACTAGTGCTGGCCTCTGTGGCATCTGCCTCCATGCCAGCAAAATGGGGCTAGCAAGGGTTGTATCTCGACGTAGTGACTAGTGAGGTCTACTGGAAACTGATGGAAGTGTGGTTTCCTTAAACAGTTTGCAGGAGTAAGTGTGGTTCTTTGAAATTGTTTCTTAAAATATGATTTTGTGTAGGTTAGTAGTAAGAGTTATTGCAGTTTTCAGAAATTTACCTTTTATGTGAAAATTATTTGCTGTCTTATGATACTATTCTTACATAGAGTTCACTGTGCTGTCAACTGCTGTGTATTTCGCTTCAATCATCAACCATTGCTAACTGTTCAAAGTATCATGTGCCCAAAATCCAAATATCTCTTAAAACAAAGTATTATGCGTCCAAAACTGTCACCAAGGATGGAAATCTGATGAAGACTGTTTTTTTTTTCTCCAGAATTTTCAGGCTGCTTCAGGTATGGGGAGCTCTGGGGACAATGGACAAATTACAGACAGGACAGAAGTTGTGCCAGTGGCTGCCATGGTGGGTGAAGGTGCCCAATCCAAAGCAGTGTCAAGCAGTGCAGTGAAAAACATTGTGATACATCCTGACCAATATAATAAGGCCGACTTCCCTTGTGATCATCCAGATGCCAAGTTTTTTGTCATTAAATCTTACAGTGAGGATGACGTGCATAAGAGTATCAAATATAATGTGTGGTCCAGCACACCCAATGGCAACAGAAGGCTGGATGCTGCCTACTCAGAAGCAAAAGGGAGTCAACAGAAGTGTCCAATATTTCTGTTCTTTTCGGTGAGTTTTGATGTGTTATTGTTTTCTTTTCCGTTTTTTCTTTATGTATGGGTTTGACATACCAACACTCTCTGTAGGTTAATACAAGCGGGCAGTTTTGTGGTGTTGCTGAAATGGTCGGCCCTGTGGATTTTCACAAAGACATGGATTTCTGGCAGCAAGATAAGTGGTCTGGGAGCTTCCCACTGAAGTGGCATCTAGTAAAGGATGTGCCGAATTCCACCTTTCGACACATCATATTAGAGAACAACGAGAACAAGCCTGTTACCAACAGCCGAGATACACAAGAGGTAATTTTTGTTGAAGTGCCAGGATTGATCACAAGAGATTATATACTGTGTACTGATGACGTTCATTTCTTCTCCTTAGATGCCTTATAAGTCGGGAATAAACATGCTAAAGCTATTTAAGAGTAGTCCAATGACGACATCGATTCTTGATGACTTCCCTTTCTATGAAGGGAGGCAGAAAGCAATGCTAGAACAGAAGCGCAGAAGTTTGGGCAGAAGTTTTGGTGGACTTACTTATGTTCCAGCACTTGTTGCTAAAAGGAGTGTTGTTGTGGAGGGTGAACCTTCTGAAGTAGGTGAAGGCATTAGCAGCAAAGATCCACATCCAGGGAAAACTGGAGAGGATAGTGGTGCTTGTGAGCAACCTGACAAGACAAGCCAAACGAAAGATGGAGTGGTTACACAAGTACTGAAAAAGGATGCAGTGTCACCTGTTGAGCAACCTGAACATGTAAAAACAGAACGGCATAGCTTAGATGATATTCATCATGAACAGAATGAGGGCTGTTCCGTTTCTGTGTCACCAGAAAATGCTGGAAGGGAACATGCTGGCTTGAGCGAACTGGTAAAATCTAATGGAAAAGTTTATAGTGACCGTGAATCACAACCTGTTATAAGCTCAACTGAACCCAATAGTTCTGGACGAAAAGGTCTTTCTCAGGAGTCTGGTGGTCACGACCCATCAGATCGCATGAAAGGCGGTGCATCTGGGATAACGAAGGATGTCAAGGCTACATTGCTCAAGAAAACAGAAGGCTTATCAACTGGCCATATGGATGGGCAAGCAAAAGGCATTGTTAACGAGGCTCCAACTGGTGTTGTTAAGGTTGGCTCGGTGCACATCAAACTAAATGTGGCGGGGGGTTCGTCATCTGAGATTATAGGTGATGGTTCTCTTGAGCTGAAGGGAGCAGAACATATTGAGCAGGGCATCTCAACAAAACTGAGTTAAGGAGCAACTAATTTATTTTCATTTTCTGGGTGTTGTGACATGTTAGTTTAACATCTCTGTTTGTGTTGGTGGGGTTTAGCTGCTTTTGCTTATGGCTACTGCAGTTGGTTTTTCAGCTTGACGACTGACAGCTTGACATCATGGTTGGTTTGGTTTGGGTATAGCTCCTCTTTTGTTTCATAATCTCCAACAAGTGGTCATAGTCTCATAGAGGTATTTGTGGTGAGGGAAAATTGTTTCTGTTTGTTGTTGTGTTGGCCCTCATCAGCAGAGAAGGCATTTGGCATTATTAGGTGAAATGTAATCATGTTTTTATATGGTACCAATATATGGACTGTCAGTTGGTGACTGCTGATGGCCGGCAACTGTGTTCTCTTTTACAGTATATGCTTGTTTTTTTATATCGTGCATGCTTGCCATCTCCCCTTTGAGATTACCTTTTAGGGTTTTTTTTTTTGTGATAAAGAGAGCTCCCTCTCTGATTTTCATTAAAGAAACCACAATGTCTTCCTAACAGGCTACCAGCTACAAGGAAAAACATAAACCGACGATGCATGATCAGAATGAACACAGTCAGGCTATCCCTAACGGGCCATCCCAACCACAGGAAGGCTATATCAGCATATAATGCAGATAACCTAGATAAACTTAAAGGTTTTCCAAAAAAATAAACTTAAGAGGTTTTCAGAGCATCATCGTCCTGGGAAGCCACAAACCGGATCTCCAGGTCGATATTTATGAACATCAAGACACAATTCACTAGTATGTTTTTAACCAGCTACTGATAAGTCTTGCAAAAGTCACGCACTAGCAGGACGACCGTAGAAGGGTATGAATGATCCACACAACAACTGCTTGGTGAAGTAAAAAGGGAGCTCCGCCTCGAAAACTGACTTCTGAGCACGGATGCAACGGAGCACTTTATTTTCAAGTTAAAAAAACCACATTTTTACGATTCATTTTTATTTTATTTTTGTGTGCATGAACGTATAGAGTTGCAGTATATCGGGCCAAAATTTCATGCTTGCATGTAAAAGATACAAAAAAGACAACTACATGAAAATTAGGGGCTTGTTTTTTGGGTGCTTTTAGGCAGATATTTTGTCTTTTTTGTGCAGCACGTAATACAACGTATTATTGAACGAAATTTCACAGGTACTTAGACCACGTGCATGCGTGTTCATGTAATTTTTTTTTCAAATCTTTTAAACATCTTTTTGAAGCAGTTCAAAATAAAGTGCTCCGTTGCCCCATGTTTTGAAAATCCGTTTTAGCTCCGCCTAAGGAAGGAGAGACACTGTCATCCAAGCGAAGACCTCCATCCAAGGGTAGCCCTCAAGACTTTTCACCAGCAATCATCTCAAACCTTTTTTACACCCCACCTTATGACATCTTGTTTCTCTAGATCCGTAAGCAAAATAAGCCCATCATGAAGCAACTTAACACCAGGTTGACAGGAGCACAAGGATCAGTAACCTAGTTGTTGCCAAATATAACAACATTTATCAGTTTCCAAATTGTCCAAAAGATTGCAGACATGCCAGTAACTGCCAACTGACATATTTCTATTATTTTTATTAAAGCTTTTAAGCCACACAATAATAAGTCCTGAACGTTATTAGGTATATTATGCAAGTCAAAAGCACATTAATTTCATTATTTTTCAAAGCATTTTAGCAAAAAAGCAACAAAAAAGATGGTTAATACTCTCTAAGAAGGATCAATACGGTCGACAAGAGGGGGAGGGGGATAGGAGACTTTTTTTTAATCTTACTTGTCAATTTTAAGGTTAAGGGGATAAATAGGGTTTACTAGATATGCAACTAGGTGAACACAACCTATATGACAAGCAAGCTTAAAGCTAAATATGCTAGGCAACAATCTAATTAGCAAACCCACAAGCATACAAAGCAAGATAAAATGCGGAAAAGGATTAACCACAAGTGAGACGATGACGCGGATTTTACCCGAAGCTCACTCTTCCTTGGGGAAGAGCTACTCTCCGTTTAGAGCGGTGCCGGAACGTAAACTTACGGAACGCCACAGAGGGCTCACCGTATTCTCTTTCGAGTGATCCCCAACGAATGAGCCTCGAATCACTCGGGGTTGGTCTTGAAGGCGACCACCACACCTTTATAAACTTCTCAGGAGCACAAGGAAGCTTCCGGAGGAACCTCTAACCGTCTAGGAGCCCAAGCTCCAACCTCCAAGAGTAACAAGTCAATGGTGGAAAAATATTGTGGAGAACACGAATTTGGTTTGGTCAAAGTGTAGATCGGGTCTTGTTCTCCCAATCCCCAAAGTTTCAACAAGTTTGGGTGGAGAGATTAAGAGTATCGAGCAAAATGGATTGTAGCAATGATGGAGCTCAACAAGACACTAGGGTTAGAGGTTGGGGTGGAAGAAGGGGGCTTTTATAGTGTTCTTGGCCGGGTGGGCATTTCTACCCGTTGGACCCTGTGCGGACGGGCTAAGTCAGCCCCGTGCGCATGGGGTACTCAGATACTAAAACCCCACCCCGTGCGCACGGGGGTCAAAAGACCTCGTGCGCACGAGGTGTCCAGAGAGTTTCATGGCACCCTGTGCACACGAGGTTCAAAACACCCCATGCGCCCGGGGTGTCCAGAAAGTCTCCGTTGACACTTTTTTTAGAATGAAGACGCTAGAGGCGTACGGCTTTAAATTAATAAAGCCCACAACAGAGGCAGCGGGCACATAAGGGGTACCACAACATCCGGGAGACCACACACAACACAAAAGTGACCGGCCTAGAGAAACAAAGTGCGATACATGGCATATCCAGCCAACATAAGAGCGCGTAGGCTCGGGGGAAACACATACAAAAGGGGCTACACAACCCTAGAAGCAGCGCTGGCAGACGACGCAGCTCGAGACGCCGAGTAGACGATGCAGAGGCGGTCAAGAGCATGGCGATGGAGATCACTGTCTTGAGGTCTTCCCAACGGCGCCCACTGCTGCAAGAAAATGATGCATTTGTAGATTACGTCAGCGGGGTGGGAGGGGAAAACAACCTGAATAGTAAACTTGTTACGAATACGCCAAAGGTCCCACAACATTGCAGCCGCACAAGTCCACATGATACGGTAAGAGGAGCCCTGAACTAAGGACAGAGACGACACAACCTCAGAGCGGGAGCATGGATCCCAATCCACGCCCGCGGCCTCGTGAACCGCGCTCCAGGCGAAGCGCGCCAGAGGGCACCGGAGGAACACATGGTCCGCGTCTTCCGTGGTACCACAGAGAGCACAAGGCCCGGTGGCCGGACCGTTGCGCTTAGCTACATTAATGGATGTAGGGAGGCGGACTTGGCACAATTGCCAAAGGAAAACCTTGATTTTAAGCGGAATGCGTGCCTTCCAGAGCCCCGAGGCTGCCTGAAGGGCAGGGCCGCTAGCTAGTTCTCTATAAAGGGAGTTAACAGAGAACTTGCCCGAACTCGTAAGCCGCCAAGACACCAGATCCGCTGTGTTCGATAGCCGCATGTCGGCGGTCAGAGCCTGCATGCGTTCCCAACTTTCCATCTCCGGCCCCAAGAGCTCCCTTCTAAAGAAAATAGGAGGCGGGGAGGACCAAGAGCCGAGGCAACCAGTTGGTTGGGCTCCACCGTGATGGAATACAGATTGCGGAACTCCGACCAGAGGGGTTGGTTGCCTATCCACAAGTCGAGCCAGAAGCGCGTGGATCAGCCATTGTTAACTGAAAGTGTGTTATATCGACTAGAGGGGGGGTGAATAGGCGATTTTTATGAAAGTCTTCAAAACATGTGAGTTTCGAAGACAAACGATAGAAATAAACCTATCATCATGCAGCGGAAGATAGACTACACTAGACAGACAATAGTCAAGCATTCAATGAAGTGAAACCACACTGACTAATAGTAGCTAGGCAGTAAGGATCAGGTACACAGTGAAGACAAATAGATAAAGCAAATAGGCACTGACTTTACAAGAGCCAACCGTAAATAAAGAGATGAGAAGGATAGAACCAGTGTGCGTGACGAAGACAAAGGTTTGGTAGACCAGTTCCAACTGTTGTGACAGTTGTACGTCTGGTTAGGGCGGATAGGTATTTAAACCTGAGGACACTCAGTCCCGGACACTTAGTCCTGAGCACACAGCTCAGAACACTTAGTCCTCTCCGTATTCCCCTTGAGCTAAGGTCACACAGACCTTGCCCAATCACTCTGGTAAGTCTTCAAGGTAAACTTCCAAACCTTCACAGACTTCGTTCACCGGCGATCCACAATGACTCATGGATGCTCAGAACGCGACGCCTAACCGGCTGGAGGATTCACAGTCCTCAAGTGTAATAAGTCTTCAGATCACACAGACAAGAAGACTTAAGTGATGCCTAACACTCTTTGGCTCTGGGTGGTTAGGGCTTTATCCTCTCAAGGAATTCTCTCTCAAAGGCTTCGAGGTGGGTTGCTCTCAAACGACAAAAGCCGTATTTTAACTCTGAGCAGCCAACCATTTATGGTTGTAGGGGGTGGGCTATTTATAGCCACTAGGCAACCCGACCTGATTTGTCCGAAATGACCTTGGGTCACTAAGGAACTGACACGTGTTCCAACGGTCAGATTTCAAACACACACGGCAACTTTACTTGGGCTACAAGCAAAGCTGACTTGTCCAACTCTGAACAAGATTCGCTCTCATAGTCTTCACTCGAAGACATAGGATTTTGGTTAAGCATCACTTCAGTCATTCTGACTGGTTTTCTTGGACCCCACTTAACAGTACGGTGGTTCCTATGACTCAACAAAAAAGAAAAAGAACTACGAAAGATCTAAGTCTTCGCGCTCCATAGTCTTCATGCAATGTCTTCTCTTGTCATAGTCTTCAATGTGAATGTCTTCACATACCACCTTTGACTTCAGTGTCTTCATACATTTTTAGGGGTCATCTCTGGTAGGAAAACCGAATCAATGAGGGACTTCTACATGTGTTATCCTGCAATTCTCACAAACACATTAGTCCCTCAACTAGGTTTGTCGTCAATACTCCAAAACCAACTAGGGGTGGCACTAGATGCACTTACAATATCCCCCTTTTTGGTGATTGATGACAAACTAGTTGAAGTTTTCAACGGGGAATATAATATGTGAAATTGTAAAGGATAAGGAATTGTCTTCATAAGTTGCAAGGGCTCCCCTTGAAGAT